AAAAGTGCCAAATGTGGCAGTGGAAGAGGGGAGGAGTTAGAGAAGCGGACCTTCCCCTTTTGAGTGCCTATAGAAAATATTGCTTACTTAAGAAAACAGTGAGCAAATATTAAATAATTTGGCCCAGATCAACCAATCAGAATCCAACTTTTACTGAGCTGGCAATAATGTACTACTCTTTGCACATCACTATTGTCCTGTGTTTACCTTACTGATTAACCCTACATGTTAATTGGTGCTAACCTTTTAGTCCCTGTGCTCCATATTATTGCCCTAGGCATTCACCATCATGAACATTATGATAAATAATCTTACTCATGGGGTTTCTAAAGCAAGTCGATTTCCCATCCTACCAGCATTTTTCATTAAGATTTGTTCAGGCTTTCACTATTTAGTCAATAACCTCCTAAATGTAACTGTTATCACACTAGATAATATAACAGGGATAAATTGCAGATTTAATCTAACTAGGTGGAATCTATCCTAATTTATTTTTATTTATAAAATTATCTGAGAGGCTTTTAACATCAGCCAAGACAAAACTAATCTGCATTTTTATGATCTTTTAATGCACAAGTTCATGGAAAGTTAAAGGGAATGTCAAAGAAAGACTTTCATCTCAAGAATTATTGTTCCTATTACAAAGGAAAACGACAGCGTTGCTCTAAGCACAATTCTCAATAGTTGTATGAAAGAATTCTTAAGCAGGCATGAATATTAACCATGCTATAACTTTGTAATCCAGTAAAACATTTGAATGGATTTATTACAATACAGGGTGCTCATTTGACATTCTTCAGCTACTGTTCCTGAGCTGTAGAGGCCACTGCCTTACAGTTTGGAGAGATTTAGTGCCCACTGCAAATACTGATTGCGTTGCCATTGCTCCACATACTTTTAGAAGGCTGGCGGCGGTTAAATACAGGTGTTCATCCAAATTATCCTTCTTTGCATTCTGGGGTCCATTTCCTCTTGAAGCCACATCCATGGAGGTTGGCTATGGTCCAATGGATCTTTAAGTGGACCTAAACTGTTCTCCAGTACTTTGCAAGCTACCCCCTGCAGCTGCACAAAATGTTCCATCACTGCTGTTATTTTTTTTCTCCTTTTCTCAAAGCCTTCCTGTAGTGACCTAATGGGTGTATTAAATGCCCATACAACTGTCAGAATGGGAGGAGCCTGAGTGAGATGGGGCATGGGAACCAAACACCCCAGAGTCATGTGGATGTCATTTTCTAATGCAAGGGCCTTTCACAGGGCTGAAACTCGAGGTGAGTTAGTTTAACACTCAGATGAAGCAGCCATAGTCACCCTGACTCTTTTTATGGCCTGATGAGAACCATGATCAGCGTACAAAAGGCCTTTTAGGCCAGGCTAAGTGTTCTCTGCCTTTCTCACCTCTGAGCAGGGGCGGACTGACCATTTGGAAACTCAGTCACTGCCTGAGGGCTTGGGGTCAGTAGGGGGCCCCATGAGATGCCCCTGGTACCTTTTTCATAGGCTTTTTTTGAGTTTGGGCAAGGACACAGGGGCCCCATGATTTCTTATTGCCCGTGGCCCCCATGAGTTGTCAGTCCGCCCCTGCCTCTGAGTATGGGATTTGGAGAGAGGGAATCTTGTATTTTAAAAAAGCACCTTCCTAATCTCAGTGACAGAAGCTGAATGTTGGGGATCTAGTATGCAGTATGCAGTTCAGAACAGCACAATAAAAGTTTGTGTCAACCAAATAACCAGATCTGGTGTACTCTATCCAACATTTCTCTTTGGCTTGCTGCTTCACAGGCCTTGACCTGCTCTGCCCCTCAGTGTCTTTTCAGCCATTGTCAACCCCACCACCTTGCAGCTACACAAACCATTCTGTAATTAAGGTCTTGTCCTTTTCATCTCAATTTGCTTTTTAAGTTAGTGCAGCATTTATTTCTCCATCGCCTAAACAAAGCCCAGATTATTAAACAAAAAAGTAGATTACAGATTCTGCTTCTTTCTCTACAGTATGACATGTTGCTCTTGTTATTTACCATTACGTTGAAGCATTATTATGTCCATACAGTATGTCTTGTTTAAATTTGTAAGCAGAAAGAACGATTCTCATGTGATATTTTCAGATGTCTCTTTTTGGCCTATAATTAAAACATGAATGTCTTGAAATAGATATCCAAGAGACCCGAGTGCTGTTCACCTTCATGATCTGAATATTTGAATATTTCAATAAAAAAGTAAGTGCATTTACTTCCAGTAAGCAGAATACTTCAAGGATTATTTTGTTTTAAACAATTCCTCAGTGCTATGCATTTAGTGCACATTTGACAGCAATATAAAATGTTCAAGGCCATATATTAAAGGTTACCAGCAGTCAACTGAACAAAGTAAAATAGAAACCTCTACACAGCTTAGGGCATTTATCTTTTTTTCACAGCATTGCAGGAGTCCACTAGGCCACCCCACCATGTAGAGCATTTTAGGATGCACTATTGGTACACTCTGGGCAGGCAATCCCAGGCCTTTATCTATTTCACTTTAAAAAAAACATTTGTATGTGTATGTGCATATTCAGGGGGACAGAGGTTTTTAAAATGTTTCTGTTGTTTTTAATTATTTTCTTTTTTTTTTGTATTATTATTTTGCAACACTTTTTAGTTTTTTTCACTTAGTTTTATTAATATTGCAAAGGGGTCTGACAAAACCCCATGTAATATTTAATATACTGCTGATTAACAATCCCTAAATGTGGTGGCTGCACTTTTTTAAAGATTTTTCCTTTATTTTCACCTGGTGATCCAGCCTGTCCCGCCTTCTCTGCAGTTATGAAAGAGTTACAGAGGGTAACAGGCAGTATAACCTTTGATGTCCACACAGTAATGAGTCGATGATTGATAACCGATGATCTTTTACTGATAACATGTGAACATGAAGTGTGGATATGAATGTGAATGTGAGTGCGGTAAAACTGGAATACAAACAGAATAAAACAGACATGAGTACATATCTAACTTCCTAGCTAATGCATAACATTCCGCAGTACATAGGAGGGGTACTTACAGACTTTGGGGGTCTAATCGAGCCCATATATGAAGAGGGAACAGCATCCCACATCTACTCGCATAGTAGAATTTCTTCAGTCTGAAGAGATGAGGTCACTTCCTCCCAAGTTAGCAAACAGGAAGTCCCTGGCCTTAAAGGGAACAGACACTGCTGAATGCTAAAGAATGCCTTGTGTAATACAAGGCAGCACACAGCCAGTAAAGCTCTTCCTGTCTAAGGGTGTCTCCACTTTGGATAGAAGAGCAACAGAGACACTTCTCGACAGCAGCATTGTCACCCTGTGCAGAGATGCACTTGACTAACAAATTAAAGTGTTTTTAAAGCCTAATCATTTTTTTTACCTTAATGCGTTCCTTGCATTAAGGTAAAAATATTTAGGTTCAAGTATTGCCCTCTCACCTACCCCTAATACTTAATGGAACCTGATCTCGATCCAGCGCTGTGCATGAGAGCAGTGGCTCTCCCCTTCTCCCTGCTGTCTTAGGCTTTGCTGAGAGCAGTGGGAGACATTGGATCCCGGGCAAAGCCTCTCTGTCTGTGTCAATGAACAAAGGCAGCATGGCTCAGGATAAAAGGTAGGAATCGGCTTCACCAAGGACCTGAGAAGAGGAGGATTGGGGCTATTCGGTACAATTCCATTGCACAGAACAAGTAAGTATACAGTAAACCTCTTTGCAAAGTCTAAATTGTTATTTTTTTTTTTTTAACAACAATCACTTTAAAGCCGAATGCCTGCTTTTTTTTAACACTTTTTAAGCAGTCACAGAAAGTCTACTTTTTCCTTTTGGGATAAAGGTTTTACATAAATAAATAAAGGGAGATTAGCAACGTATAGAAGTTGTCCGGAAGCAGCTGTCACCCCCTATTTAAATTTACTACTCATAAGAACATGTATAGAGCCTCAGTATTGGCTCTCTTTTATAAAGCCCCACTAAAAGATTGTTCAGTAGTTTTGGGTCATGTGTCAAATAGATATGCAGCCACAGAAGCTCTTCAGCTTTAAACTCCTATATGTGCTGTAAAAGTCCATAAAGAGGTCTACAGGATTGCCTGGCCAGTTAAGATTCTACCCATCACACCAGCAAGAAAGTTACATAGTTACATAGTTAGTCTGGCTGAAAAAAGACAAAAGTCCATCCAGTTCAACCATTAAAAAAAAAAGTTATAAATCCTATACCAACAGTTGATCCAGAGGAAGGCAAAAAACCCAGCAAAGCATGATCCAATTTGCTCCTGCAGGGAAAAAAAATTCCTTCCTGATCCCCCAAGAGGCAATCGGATATTTCCTGGATCAACTTTACTTATAAATGTTAGTATCCAGTTATATTCTGTGTATCTAAGAAAGATTCCAGGCCTTTTTAAAGCAATCCACTGAGCTGGCTAGAACCAACTCTTGAGGAAGTGTATTCCATATTTTCTCTGCTCTCACTGTGAAGAAACCTTTCCATGTTTGAAGGTTAAATTTCTTTTCCTCCAGATGTAAAGAGTGCCCCCTTGTCCTCTGTGATGACCTCAGGGTGAATAACTCTACACCGAGTTCACTATATGAACCACTGATGTATTTATACATGTTGATCATATTCCCCCTTAATCTCCTCTTCTCAAGAGAGAATAAATTCAGTTCCTCTAATCTTTCCTCATAGCTGAGCTCATCCATGCCTCTTATCAGTTTGGTTGCCCTTCTCTGCACTTTCTCCAGTTTCCCAGTGTTTTTTTATGTGAATTGGTGCCCAAAACTGAACTGCATATTCCAGATGAGGTATTACTAATGATTTGTACCGGGGTAATATGATATCTCTCTCTCTGGAGTCTATACCTCTTTTAACTAGTTGCCGACCGCAGATAGCCAAATGACGGCTTCACTGCGGCCAGTTCTGGGTGGACGTCATATGACGTCCCCCCAGAACGCGCTCTCCTGCGCGCCCCAGGGGGGCGCGCATCCGGCGATCTCCGTGATCGCTGTGTCCTACCACGTGATCAGCGGCGTCCAATGACACGCTGATCACAGGGAAATGCAAGTGCCGGTTCTCGGCTGCACTTTCCTCACGCTGTCAGATCGGAAAGTACTGCCGAGAACCGGTAGTTGTCACAGCGGGGATCGGCACCGATCATCAGGACACTGATGATCAGTGCCCTGATGATCGGTGCCCAGCAGTGCCACCTGCAAGTTCCGCCCACCTGTGCCCAGCAGTGCGCCCACTAACTCCGCCCACCTGTGCCCAGCAGATCACCCACCTGTGCCCAGCAGTGCACCCACCTGTGCCCAGCAGTGCACCCACCTGTGCCACTCTGCAGTGTCACACACCTGTGCCCAGAAGTGCCACCTACCTGTGCCCAGAAGTGCCACCCACCTGTGCCCACCCACTTGTGCCCACCAGTGCCACCCACCTGTGCCCACCCACCAGTGCTGCCCACCAGTGCAGCCCAGCAGTGCTGCCAGTCAGTGCCACCAGTCAGTGCCCAGCGGTTGTGCCAGTCAGTGCCGCCAGTCAGTGCCCAGCAGTGATGCCAGTCAGTGCCGTCTATCAGTACCCATCATCAGTGTCACCTATCAGTGCCGCCTATCAGTGCTGCATATTAGTGCCGCCTATCCGTGACACCTCATTAGTGCTGTCTATCAGTGCCGCCTATCCGTGCCACCTCATTAGTACTGCCTATCAGTGCCCTTTAGTGCTGCCTATCAGTGCCGCCTATCAGTGCCCATCAGTGCTGCCTCATCAACGCACATCAGTGAAGGAGAAAAAATACCTGTTTGAAAAATTTTATAATAGAAACAAAGAAAAAATGTTTTTTTTTTTCAAATTTTTTGCACTTTTTTTATTTATAGCGCAAAAAGTAAAGTGCCCAGTGGCAATTAAATACAACCAAAAGAAAGCTCTATTTGTCAGAAAAAAATGATCAAAATTTCATATGGGTACAATGTTGCATGACCGCGCAATTGTCAAAGTGCGGCAGCGCTGAAAGCTGAAAATTGGCCTGGTAAGGAAGGGGGTATAAGTGCCTGGTAGGCAAGTGGTTAATACAAGAGAGGATTTTGCTCGCTTTAGAAGCTGCAGCTTGGCATTGCATGCCATTATTAAGCTTGTGATCTACCAGAACTCCCAGATCCTTCTCCACCATTGATTCCCCTAGTTGTACCCACCTAGTATGTACAGTGGTGTGTTTAGGTTTTGTGCTGCCCTGGCGGAGAGAGCCTGACACAGACCAACACCAGACCCCTCTTCCCTATGGAGAGAGCCTGACAGTGACCAAAAACACCCCCACCCGAGAGAGCCTTCCACTAATACCCCACCCCCCCCCCCTGCCGACAACAGAGAGAAAGACACTCACCTTCACAGCTCTGGGCATCCCCGGGAATGGCTTCTGCATCCACCATCAAGCAGCCCGCTGCCTCTCTCGGATCCCACCTGGTCCCCATGCCGGATATGTCCCTTCTTCTGGGGGGCAGTGCTGCCCCCCTAAAAAATGCCGCCCTAGGCAATTGCCTTGTTTGCTTTGTGGTAAATACACCCCTGAATATGTGTGATTCATGCATATTCTTAGCCCCAAGTGCATAACCTTACATTTATCAACATTAAACCTCATTTGCCACATAGTTGCCCAATTAAATAGTGCATTGAGGTCAGCTTGTAAATTGAAGATATCCTATAAAGATGTTATTCCACTGCACAGCTTGGACAGCAGCTTTTAACATCCTGTGCAGCAGTATAGGCAAATATAATACCTACTATATTATGAAAAATAAATTATCATTATAAAAATAAGCACATCTGGCCTTACAGAATTATTCTTTCCTATTTTCTAAAATGACAGGCCTTCCTTAGTAGCATAAACCGGTAAAATTATATTTTCATGATAAAGGCCCTTCAAAATGACGTAAATAGAAATAGCATATAGCAGAAGCTTAAATAAAGCATGATGTTTTCCAGGCAAATTGCTTTCTAATTTATAAGTTACCCCATTATTCTGTTGGCCTTTCGACTTAGTTAATCTCCATATACAGACATATATTGGCACAGCGCAGAGCTGACTCACCAGAACTGCAGTGTAATGGCTGTTCATTCACTTGATGAATGTAGACCCAAGCTTTCCAATTTCACAAGCTATTACAAGTTATATCGGTCCTCTATTTCTTGCAAAAGATGAAAAAGGAGACATAAGGTTCCTGATGTACTGTTGTGATTGCGGGTTTGTACCTTATACAGTTTCCAACTTTTCAGAAAGTAGTTTGCTCTCTATGCTTCAGTATTCTGTGCCTGCATGCCCTTGTCAAATAAATGGGCCACAAATGGTTCTACATTTAAAGGGAAACTATAACGCTAGGTTCACACCTATGCAGTTTGCGTTTGATCTGTTTCTGCAGTGCGTTTTGCGTTTTTGCACATGCATTTTTGACGTGCTTTTCATGTGTTTTGTGTTTTTTTTCTTGTTGCTAGGCAGATTTAAAATGCAAAACGCATCAAATATGCAGCAAAAACACACTACATGCTTTTGTGCATCGTTTTCATTGAAGTCCATAAAACCAAAAACACAACTTTGTGCATTTAAAAAAGTCCCTGACACTTTCCAAAAAAATGCACTGGGTGAAAATGCAGAGATGTGAACCTGTCCCAAAGGAAATTATGTTAAATGAACTGTACTGCGTTTCTTCTTAACACAGTGGAAAATGCTTAGGTGTGAACCTAGGGTGATGGTTGGGGACAATTGTAATTCTTTATCAAACATTTTAAGTTCTTGTTCTAGATCTGTTTTTTTACTATGCATTTGATACTTTTATTTTACAAATAACCATTTAATACAGGGTGCACCTGACACGGGTGTTCCAGAGTATTACCGTATTTTCCGGCGTATAAGGCGATTGGGTATATAAGACGACCCCCTCATTTTCCAGTTAAAACATAGGTTTTTGGCTATACTCGTCGTATAAGACTACCCCCCTTTCGAGGCAACACCATTTAAAAACATCAGGTTTTTTAATTGAAATGGTTATGACTTACTGGTACTTAAAATCCTTCAAAATCCTCTGACATCATAAGTTCATGAATGACATCTTGTGATACATTTGTAAGACAGTGATCATATGGATCAAATTCCAAATCAGATGGTTACCGCTGGATGTGCAGTAATACGGTAGCTTTAGCTACATACAGTATACAGTATATATACAGCCCACTGGATGTGCAGTAATGTACATACAGTATACCGCGCTGAGCCAAGCTGGCTCAAAACAGATGTCCTTATGACAGATTAATCTGTCAGCCCGCTGGATGTGTGGTATATACAGTATACTGAGCCAAGCTGTTTCAAAACATTCCGGTACGTCCCTACGTACAGTATGTACGTATGTACAGTAGCTGAGGCTACATACAGTATACGCTGGGCCAATCAAGGCGAGCGATGTATTCTACTAATGAATACAAAGCCTGCTCAGATTGGCTGAGGTTGTGACATCATCAGCCCACCTCTCTGACTCAGCCAATCTGAGCAGGCTTTGTATTCATTAGTAGAATACATCACTAGCCATGATTGGCCCAGTGTATACTGTATGTAGCCGCAGCTACCGTACATACACGCATCCAGTGGGCTGATTACAGTAGGGACGTACCGGTACGTTTTGAAACAGCTTGGCTCAGTATACTGTATATACCGCACATCCAGCGGGCTGACAGATTAATCTGTCATAAGGACATTTGTTTTGAGCCAGCTTGGCTCAGCACGGTATACTGTATGTACAGTATTACCACACATCCAGCCAGCTTGACCCAAACAAACTCAAGGTTTACATTTTATACCCCACGTATAAGACGACCCCCAATTTTTGGGGTATATTTTTAAGTATAAAAAGTAGTCTTATACGCCATAAAATACTGTGTGTGTTTACTAAAAAAAAAAAAAACACTGTTAAAACCCCTTTGATTGAAACTTTGCATAGAGTCACCTGCACAGTCAGGCATTAAAGGGAAAGGAAGGTCAAGAAGTCAAATGTGCAGACTAAGGCCTTGGTCACTTCAGTGCAAATTATCAAGCGATTTGATCATTTCAAATCGCATGACAAGTCGCACCCTATTGTCAACAATGGAAGCAGTCATATCGGTGTGATTCGCAGCGATTTTGAAACTACTTCATGCACTACTTTTTGCAAGTTCAGGTGCAACTTTCATAGACATCTGTGCATGAAGTCTAACAGATGTCTTCCAAGTCACACCTGAAGTCGGACTGATATCAGACTTTGAAATTGTGCGAATTCAAGTGAAATCGCATGATTTCAAAGTCAGATTCGGTGTGACCGAAGACTAAAGCTGGTCATAGATGGTTTGAATCTCAGCTGGTTCAGCAGGGACCGGCTGAGATTCAAACCATCTATGGGCAGGTTGATTGTACCCAATTTGATTGTTGTACAACTTGGGTACAATAGCCTGTCAGGTTTTTTCATGTGATTATTGCCAGTGGCTATAGGCGCTAGCAATAATGACTGTGTTCTACTGGTAGGGACAGTTCCTTCCCGCGCCCCACCGCTAGAAGAACACAATAGCTCAGCAGAAAGGATTCCCTCATCACCACTGACTATGTTGATGGGGGAATCGAGTGATTTTCTCTCCTGCAAAGAGGAAGAGAATCGCATCTTCTATGGCCGGCTTTATTTATTGTCTGTGCTAACGTGGAGTTCTATAAACAATGGGCATTTTTGCAACAAACCAGGAAAAGTGTGGAAAATACGTTTGCTGTAAAGCACATCTGTCATCAAGAGAAGTAATTAAAACCTGCTAGCAGGCAGACTGGCTAATCAGGCGAATACAATGGCAGCACACACAAGCCCAGCAGTTCTCCAGCATGCCTACTGCACGAAGAAAAGTATGATGATAGTGAGAGCATCTAAAAGGACCAGCACAGTTGAAAATATTAGAAGTTTACAAGGGATTTCAACCACATCTAAATTATACACTGGTCATGGACTAAAACTCCATCCTTAATGAGATGTGCAAAACTAACCTGTAAGGGGATTTAGAATCAGCCAAGCCTTTCCCAGGCATGAATGTCCTTACATGGGCAGTCCTACTTTCTGTTTGCTGATCATATATTGACTTTTCAAGTTGAGTTTAGTGATGTTAATTAAACTTTTAAAGAGTATTGTAATGCCCTTTTAACAAATTTGTTGGCTAAGTTAAAGTTTCACTTTCTATACCTAAAGTGAAAGAATCCTCCTTGCAAATATACTGTATGTGCACTTGTGGAAGGCGGGCTGTGCCCAGCCAACACCTCGACCCATATAAAATACGTTTTTGAGTGTTATTTCTGATTCTCAGTCCTGTGCAGTGCATCAGTTTATGGATTTTTTTGTTAACTTTGGATAGGTTTTGGGACTAGTATCTATATAAATG